CGAGGCCATGCGTGCACTGAGGCTGGGACAGCGCGGCCGGGCGCTGTCGGGGTTGCTTGGGCGCGACGGGCGCCAAGACTTCGCATGCACGCGCGGACAGGCGCTGAGGGGCGCTGTCGCGGGCACTGGGGCTGAGGGTACCACGCGCAAGCTGGCGCGGGCACGGACTGGCACTGGGCCGGGCACTGCCGCGCAATGTGCGCGGCCAGTGACCAAGGCCGGCCCTTGCCGGACCTCCGGCGACTTTTTCCGACAACATGCATGACCATACAACATAATATGATAAAATAAGCACAAATAACACATAAAACACTAGTGGACCCCGGGTCCACTTGCATGTTCACTCGGTAGGGCTTATACGGCCCGTACGAGCACTTGACGTCCGAACCGACTAAAATTTTTTAAACTTTTGGTGATGCCCGAATGTTTAACATGTTAAAACATTTCTATAGAGGCTAAAACATGTGGCATATCTTGCATGCAACGAACTAGGGTTCGGGTACCCATTTTAACATATTTTCGAGCATGATTTGACTAAGTTAATGAACTCGTTTTATTCTCAAACTTTTTCAGCATCAGTGGTACAATATTTAAGGGTGTTTAAACCACTATTCTTTACTTAGGCATGTTGGGAACTAAAATTTCATTTTTAAGGCCAGTAACTTGAAAAATTCGGAAGTCACATACAATGACATGCATGGCTCGGTTTCATGAAATAATTAATGAAATCAAAAATCCCGAGCTTACCTCGGTTGGAACTGAAATTCTCGAGCTAGGGCTTAAAATGGTGTTGGTCACGGCCTTGGGGGTTGGCTTGGACTTAGGTTGCGTTTTGCTCGCGTCAAACACCTCCAAGAGACTTAGAAAAATCTAAGGTACACATATATAGTGCTAAGCCTCGAGAGAATGTGCTTGGACAAGGCTGAGGTGCGGTGGTGCTGGCTCCCGGGACTCCTAGCGCGCGCGGTAGGGCTGGCAGCTTTGCTCTCGGTTTTCTATCCTCTCCCTCACTATATGCTCAAGCAACTGAAGACCAAAGGGTCTCTAATGACTGGAAAATGGGTCTTAAATAGATGGGAGGGGCGGAGCTTACTAGGTGGGCTGGTGGGAGACCAAACATGTGGGACATGGCATCACATGCGCATGGAATTTTGGTCCAAGACCTTGGACAAGCTTTGACCTGATTATGCTCGGTTTAGTGGGCTTTATGGGTGGTTTTCAGAGTATTTTATTAGGTCACAAGGGGTCTGGTCAGTCTTGTCCAAGACTAGGGAACAAGGACAAAAATCTTGAATAAACAATTCATGCCCATGCTCTCTACTAAGGCTAATGATGTGTTGACTTTGGCTAAACTTCATTAGGGTCATTTTAGCTTAAACAATACCTTATTAAGTCCTAATTAAACGCAGCTCTTGGGTCATGGGGAAAGTGGGCCGGAATTAATGCATTTGGGCTCAAGAAAGTGGGCTGGCAGGCTGCCCGCTGGGCTGGGCGCTGGGCCCTGGGCACGGGGACGCGGGCTGGGCGCGAGGGCGTGCTGGGCTGGCGCGGGAAGATGGGCTGCGCGCGGGAAGTGACTTTGGGCTGAGCCTAAGGGCTTCTCTTGGTATCCCAACACTTAGAAATATTTTCCAAGACTTATACCACATATAAGGCATAGCGTTGGACATGGCTCGGGTGGCCTCGACACGAGATGGGCGAGGGTGTGAGGGCTCGGGCGCAGCAACTCGGTTAGGCATTAGGGCTCGATTTAAAATTATCAATACTTATACTTTGATATTTTTATACACTTAGAAAAATATTCTAAGTATAAAAATACCAATACTTAGCTATGCTCGGGATTTAACTCGAAACCCAACTAGGGTTCGGAGTCAATAGTTACTCTAATCGACTAGCTATTATTTAACAACCCAATTTAATGGATTAATTTTAACTTAAACTTGATATAGAAATATTCCAAGGAATAATCTATTATATTTGATCATTTAGCATATAAAATATAACTCGGATAATTCTAAAAATTACGGATTTCACTTATAGTCGAGCAGTGAAACCGTTCTTAATATTATTTCTAATTTGGGGCATTACAAAAAACGTAAAAGAAAATAGAATAAACACTTGCAAAAACTCCATCACTACTAGTTCAAATTCTCCAAAAAGCTTAACGTTTGAATTGACAAAAAATTAAAAACTAGTAGTGATGGAGTTTTGGCAAGTTTTTGTTCCATGTTTTTACGTTTTTTCCTATTGTTTTGTCACTATTTTTTCCCCGTTTTAGAACTTTTCGTTGGGTTTTATTCATTTTTGTAGTTTATTGTGTCGTGTGTTTTTTTTTTTGTTTTTCTTCTTGTTTTTTGTGTGCAGGTTGGAAGCCCTGTGAGATATAAATTTGGCCCGAAAATTGACCGGGCAACCATGGTTGAGTAGAAGGGTTCGTTGGCGACATGTAGAAAAAGGCGGAACTCAATTCCATGTTTGGACGAGCTCGAACGGGCCCAAAACGCGAAGTCGCGCGAAGCACGTCTTTGGTGTGCTGGTCATAAGCTTTGGGAGAATAGTATTTCAAGAATAATTTGTTCATATAAGCATCATTGAATAGAGGTTTCGTTGGCGACCCGTAGAAAAAAACGGAACTCAATTCCGAGTTCAAGCGAGCCCGAAACATAAAGTCATGCAAACTGACGTCAATACTACGTACCAAATTCGCAAAAACGCAAAGGTCAGGTTGTATTTTCACCATAAATAAAGAATAGGTACCAAAATCACAATTACCCCATAGTACAGGTACTAAAATAAACAATTACCCTACAAATACACAATAGCACTTTACACTAGCACTTTACACAATAGCAATATAATTTTTTTCTTAAGTTTTTTTTACATCACAAGTTCACAATTCACAAATCAGAAATCACAACACAGAGACGGTCCTTTTTCCCTTTGCTAAGCTAACTCTAACCCCAACTCTCATTTTCTGAAGCGGCAGCCGGCGACAATCCTCTGGACCTCTGCAGACCGACCGGTGACCGGTGTGCGGCGCGACAACGAGCGGCAAGGAAGTTTCTTCCGGTAGTGATGGCTGAACCTAATTCTCAAAATGAATTGTGATTTATGATTTGAACTGATTTCTAGATTTTGGTTTCTTTAATTCTGAATTTTGAAAATGAAATGTTTAAACCTAATTCTCTAATTCTGAAATGAATGTGAAGGCTGAAATGAAGGCTTGAATGTGATGGCTGAAATGAATGTGAAGGCTCAAATTTGAACTGTGATTTATTGAATGATTTTGGTTCCAAATGACTGAATTCCTAAACTCCTCTAAAATATTTATTTTGTCATAAATCTACAAACGAACAGACCACCTATGAAAGTGAAAATTAACAGCTGCAGTGTAGATGAGTTGGACAGCGTGGATCCTGGCCTCCTATGGTAGGATTTGACCCCAATAGTTTGTTAATTGTATGAATTGCATTTCCTTTTATTGGAGATTCAAATTTGTGTGTGGATGTTGGTTGGATGTCTTTAATTTTTCCGAACTAAAAATATACTAATTTGGTGTATCTCAGAAGAAGTTTAACATGTATGATTCTCAACTTGAGTCATGGACAGCTCTAAAAAATTACGCGGTTCTTAGTTTGTAGCCGGAAAAAAAGAGAATCAATTTTTGTTTTCCTTTTGGGCAGAAGAGTTATGTAGTTTTCAGTTTAAAGTGTTGTGTCTTTATTTAGCAATCTACCTTGTTATTGATTAAAAAAAAAAAAATAGTCACCGGTACAATCCAACTTAATTTCTCAATCCAAAAGGATTATTATTATTTTTTTTCTTAAGAATTTATCCCTGACTTTGTCATTACTCATTAGAATCTCCTTTGTTTATCATCTTTTCTGCTCATTGTGAGTCTGGCGATGAGATCTAGATATCTGTCGGAAACTTGAAATCATGACTCCACAGATTATACCAATATTGCTTGTATATTCTACTAGTTATCATCATATAATTACTTTATTCAATACTTTTGGGCAGCAGAAATTTTATTTGAGGTTCTTTATTCTCTAATGCAGGCCATCATTATAATCGATTTAATAGATATGAGCCTCCTTCTACTGTAAGCATGCGTGGAATTCATCAAAAAATTTCTCCCTTTTTTTGTCGTGGACTGCATAAACTATCACATGATGGTCCGAGTGAAACCTTGAAAAGGAAAATTGCTGAGTCAGAGAAGAAGAGGAAAACAAGAAATCCCAGGAAGAATAAGTTGCTTGTGGATGTTCCTGAGTCCAAAAAGTTCCTTGATACAGCAACCACGCAAATGATACTCAGTGTTGTTGTGGGGACTGCTCTCTTTGCTAAGCTCTTCATGATGGTATGTAATGAGAAACTTTTTCATTTTCTATTGTTCTTTTCTGTTTCGGTTGATCTTTGCATCATTCGGTTAAGAATCAAATCTATGAGAGTTGTGAATGAGTGGTATTTAATTGTAAATTGCAATTTCGAATATAGATGACATGTCTTGAAAAAAGAACTGAAAAAAACTGAAAATTAGAAAAAGAGCCATATAAAATTATAGATAGAAATTGAAAAACAAAAGACCCTGAAAAAAGCTATAAGCGGACTAAAAATGAGTTGAAACTTTGAAGAAAAATAAAACCTTGAAAATTGCATAGATTTGAGAAACTAAGATTTGGATTGAAGTTATGCCAAATTTATTTCCTGCAGTATGATGACTCCACAGAACAGGAAAGGATTGAGCGAAAGATAAAGGAGACCCCTGGCCTGGGCAGTGTAAGGATGCTCACTCGTGAAGAGTGGGATGCAATTCAAGAAGTGAGACCAAGGACACCATTTGAATCAAAGATAGCACGGCCCAATGAAAAAATACGAACTGGGGAGCCACTTCATAGGGTAAGATTTGCAATATTTTTTTTCCCTTCTCACTGTTCACTTTATGAATTGCTGTAAACCTCAGGATAAAATCAATTTGAATATCTCAGGACAAAATTTAAGTTACAGACATCTCAAATTTGCATAGACTACAATTGGAAAAAGATGTTTATTTCCCCTATTGGATTAGATACAACGTCCCTCAACCTCAAATCGATTCAATTCAATCGACTCGTTTTATTATGCGCCTCCGTCTGAACCAAATTGTAATGAATGCTTCGAGCACTACCCATTGAGTTATTCAAGAGGCCATCAATTTATAACAAACCTATAAAATAATATGGACGTAATTTAAACATAATTCAAAGAGAGTTTTGCGAGTTGGGAGTGTAAACAGGGAGATGTTTGAAGCTGCTTGGAGATCAAATAGCGGGAGTGTACTCATATTTATTTATTTATTTGTTTATTTATTGATTAATTTTGTAACGTGATAGTTCTTTAAATTGAACTAAGACCTGATACTCTCGACTGTGTTGGTGCAATTTCTCAGGAAGATGTCAAGGATTGGACAGTGGATGTGTTTGCAGATGCATTGACACGGGCTGAGGAGACTGCCAAACATGGATCTAACTAAAAATGATAGCTGAACAGCCCCATGGGCCCGTTTGGTTTGTAATGTTTTATTTCTATGATCATAAGATGGCTTTTTGCTGCCCATTTTTTTCTGGCGATGGTAAATTATTACATGGAAATGGAAAATTGTAGGTGAATAATGGAGTCAGTCCCCATTGCCGTTTCTTGTGGAAGAAATCAGAAATTGAGATGATTTTTATTTTCCTGGGGAAAATGGAAATATGATGTTAGATATGGATTTGTTGTTTTATTTAATTGAGTTATTGGGGCTTTAGGCCCATGTGGTAAGAATACCTATTGGGCTATTCATACAGCTTGAAAAGCAGACCGGAAGTTACAATATGAAAATGAAAAATTGAAACCAAAATTGCTAAATTTTTTATTTCGTCTTCAATTTAGCTGAAAATCACATGAATTTATTTATATAATAAAAACACAAGACATAGCATGGCAAAAAAAAATAAAAATAAAAATAAAAACAAAAATAAAAAAATAAAAATAAAAATAAAAAACTGATAGTAATTACTAATTCTTTGGGACTTTATCGATATGCAGGATTAAAGCAAGTCTTCTGCACCTTCAGAAGACCAAAAGTCCTAACTATATCACTAATTATCACAAAATCTATACATTCTCAAAACAATATAGAAAATAAAAATACATGATAAGAAATGTGAAGTCCAAATAGACTCAAGCTTATAAATGAGGTTGAAATCATCCAAACTCTTGTAGCTCAATGAGCTAAAGTATTTTTCACGCAAAAATGACATATTTTTTTCCACATATAAGATTAAAAGACTTTAAGGATTAGAGGACCACAACTATTTAGGGGGCGATTGTATATGGATTCTACAGTAAAAAAAAACTAATCAAAACTCAAATTTAACTCAACTTTAACTCAACTCTGCTATCTCCAGTATTATTAATATAATTAAATAATATCAACCAATCATTCTTACACATCACATCAACTTTAATTCACTATTCATCTACTCATAAAATTTTAACTAACCATCACTTCCAATCATTTTTCTCCTACTTTTATATCAAATCAACTTTAATTATTTCATTTTAAATATTAGTTTAATATATCCACTAACAACTAAACATACCACATTTTTTCAAACTTAACTTTAGTTAAGAAAAAACCAGTTTTTTACTAGTTGAATTCATATGCAATCATTCCCAAAGATTGACGAAGACTATAATCACTATGCTCTTTCATGGATGCTAAAAATAACTGAATTAAAAACTCGTCCCGTTATTTGTGGCTCCGAATAATCTCAAACTTACACAGGAGCTTGAATTCATTCCTATTTTCTTGCCACCCAACGAGCTCAATTATAATAGTTTGTTAAATTACTATTAGTTAAAAATCAAAACAACTGTGTAGTTTGGAGGTATCCATGTTTGATCTTTGTAACTGCGCCTAATATTAGAGAAAATTCAAGTCAAGTATTAATAGCTTGATTATAATTCAAACAACACATACTGAAGTATGTTGCATGGCATGACAGTTACAGAATTAATGTACAATGAATTTACTCTAAGTAAAGTCAACCCGGGTGTCCATTGGTTGATAATGTTAGTGTTATATACTGAAAGCTTGGTTTTGCATGTTATTACACATTTGCCCTTTATGAATGAGAATCGTGTTAGATTAAACAAGTTCTACGTTCTGTTGTTCTGCACTTAGATAGGGTGGGTCGTCATCGAGCGAACCGAAGATCACTCTATCAGTCACTTGCGATCAAGAATAGTTGTTCACAACCTAGATGGACATGAACACACCATCCGAACGGTTGTAGTGTCAACTGTACAGTTTATCATGACTGATTAGTTGCACTAGTACATTTATGTATTGAACAGGATCTCAGAGAGGAGAAATTCATTTTATATTGATCGTCGTGAATGAACTAGGCCTCCGTTAATTACTGCGTTCTCTTAACCCATAAGATATTAAACAGGCAGATATATGTAATATATATTACTTTGATTCACATGGGTGAGGTTCAGTTTGTTGGATTAATATTTGTACTGTTTTGGGTGATATTACTATATATAGGATGTGTTGTTAGGATATTTACGGTCACCATGTGCCTTAGTTTGATGATGTCCCCGGAGTGAGTTCATGAAGGATTGTTATGTTAAACCCTGCAGGTGGATTAAGTTCCGACATAATAAGAATGTGATGAACGAGCGTTAGCTTTGGTGAAATAATGATAAATTAAATAATTCTTGATTGTCATTAATCGAATTAATTAATGGACATTATATCTTATACGTGGGGAGGTAAATCGAGTAATTATTATTGGAGTCTCAAATGTAATTTGTGCTAGGAAAAGGGAGTGCAATAATATAATGTTGGTGGCCCATTAATATTATTTAATTAACTAGAGGAGTGGGCTTGGCCCACAGTTAGTCTAATTAATTAAGGAGTCCTTTTCCTAATCTCCTAAGGGTTCCTACTGTAGCTCTATATATACATCATTAAGCTCATGAGAAGAAAACAGAAATCTCATTCACACGAGATACACGCCTCACACGCCTCTCTCTCTCTAGATCTCATTCGAGCTTTGTCTTCTTCTTGTTGCTCCACTGGTACAAGTTGAAGAAGGGTGTATTGAGTAATACAGTAGAAGATCTATAGGTAAACCCAGACGAAATATAATTTGTCCTACAGAACTAACCGGACGTCGGATTGAGACGCACAACATACCTCGACGACCGTCTCAACGAGAGCTTTCCTTCGCCGCCAATATCGCCGGATTCCGACGCCACATGCGCACTCACGCGCCGCCGGAAGCTGTCTGGCTGCAAGTTTGGTTTTGATCCGTTTGCACCCGTTTGATTCAATTTTGATCTGATCTTAATTGTACAACCAAATACGTGATTTGCGGTCAACCGTTTGTGGTCAGCCAAATCTACATAAATTTTAAGCCGTAAGTTCTATACGTCAAACCTTTAGATCCGCTGCGCACTTGGTTAATTCGTTTTGTACAAAGTTCAAATTTTTACGGCTTTATTTGACAAGATGTGTTCAAACGCAACCATATATTGGTTTATATTTGCATAACTCGGTTTTGCAGGACAAATAGTTAATCCACTATTATGGCCGACTATGTGTTTGATGAATGTTGTTGAATGTGATGTATGGTTTTAAATTTGTTTTTAAAGCCTCGGACATGTCGGGAAATTTATGGATGAATGTTTGTAATAATTATTCGTCCGGGGGTTGACCGGATAAATTTAATTATTTGTTTAGAAAACATGTACATCCATTCGTTGGATCTAGGATCGAATTATGTAATTTTGTAAATTATATTTTTCGTGTTGTGATCGTGTGTTGATGACCGAGAGATCACAAGAGATCAACGAGCCTCGAAGAATTAAAAAAAATAAAGGAAAATTGAATTTCCGACCACCGGCGGCCGGGCGGTGGCCAGAGGCGGCGGTCGGCGGCGGCTTGCAGGAAGGTGGAGAGGTTTTGCCTTGATGTCCAAGCAGTACAAGATCAACCAGGATTCTACTACTTAAATTAGTATTGCAAGATTAATTATGCATGTTAATTAATTATGTAATGCATAGGATTAATTTGGAATTGTGTCAATAAATTATGCATGTAATTAATTATTGCACTGGCATGGATTAATTTAGAATTGCATAAATTATTGAACATGTTAATTAATTATTGCATTGACATAGATTAATTTAGAATTGCATGAATTAATATGCATGTTAATTAATTATTGCATTAACATAGATTAATTTGGAATTGTATAAATAGTTAAAAATCCTCATTAAACTATACTAAGTTTGAGAAGAGATTTTAAATTAAAGTTAATTGTAAAATTTTTAAGGCCTCTATTTCTAATTTGTCGGTAATTCAATTTTAGTTGCGCTAAAATTAGTTGTAGGAAATTACCAGGACAAATTTCTAAAATTAGACGGTTAGAGGGAATCTTAAGAGAGCACACGGGCCTCCCCACGGGGGACGTGTAATCAATTTTGACAACCTCAAAATCGAGAAATGGGATTCACTTAGAATGCGATTTATCTATAAACTCCCAACGGGGTCCTAAGATTTATTGCATGGCCAAATGGAGACCGACTATTAATTTCGTTCCACATGAATTTGGTTTTGACTTATGAAAATTAATGGCCCTTGAAAAGTCCTTCTCTTACAAAATGTGAGTTTGTAGGGCGACCCACGTAGCATGCATTCTCACAAGATGTAATAGATGTCGGTGAATTTAAGTTAATATTGTTTTGAGGATATTAATATTGGCAGTTAAATTCAAAAGTGTTTAATCTGTATAAATATTTGCATGATTCTCAGGATATTCATCATGTCGTTCAATCCGTTGTCTGTCATTCTAAAAGAAAAT